ATCTCACTTTGAGCTCAGTCTGAGAGGCTTTTACTCTATCAAACTATTTTTTTTGCCTCTTATTTACTGGAAATATTGATGTTAATGAGATTTTCTCCAAAATGACCTTTTTCAACTTTTATAGCTCCACTGTTGAAAATGAGGCTCTAACATTCACAAATGACATTGAAATAAAATCAAGTCCAACATCTGGTTTGAGGTGATTCCTCTGGAGCCTGTTGGAGGAAAAACATCACAACTTCAGAAGATGAGCTTTTTAACCCAACAGAGCTCTGAGGTTCCTCCTGTCAGTATGAGAGTCAGGGTGCTGTCCTCTGAACGCCCCCTGGGGAGCGGTACCCCCACGTTGAGAACCACTAATATAAATCTTATCTACATTTAAAACTAATACATAGCATTCCTTTTTTTCAACACATCATCTATCATAATCAGATTCCTGATTGTGAGCTGATACCAGAGATCTTTATTTGCTTGGCCTGAAACCAGTGACTGTCACACAGTAGATTATTTACAAATCTCTAAACATTTCTAGTTCATTAACAGTTTATTGCATTTATCCTTTTCAGCTTCAACTCGCCATCTAGTGGAGCAGAAGTGTAACTGTTACCATTGATCCTTCACAGAAATATTTCTACTTCATAATCTCAGCTTGAACTTTTTTTGTTGGAGATTTTTTTATCAATATTTTTCTTTTCAAAAACATATTTTCTACATAAACTAATCTAACATGCAAAAACATCTGTTTATTTTTTTATGCATGAAAACATGCAAAGAATACAAATTCCTAAAGAAATTTGTAAATACAGAAACAGAAAAAGAACAAATGACTTGAAACTTCAGAGAGCGTTATATGGTTATATACAGGTATTAGATACATATTTGGCCTTAGCGACTTGTTGTCACGGCCCTGAGGAGGCGAACAATCATTGTTGGTGGCAGTCCTCGTCTGACCAGTTCATCTTTAATCTGCAGAGGAAAACACAAGGCTTTGTTGAGATGAAATCAGTGGCACATTATGAATTGTTCTCAATTTGTATCCATGTCAATCTGTAGCTGGGTTTTAATAAGTGAGATTTGATTCTGATTTGCTTCTTCTCTCAAATTTAAAACAAGACTTTTTAAAAGCACTTTAGCAAGAGACAAAACAGGCAATAGAAGAAACTTCATCAGGTATATTATTCAAATTAGATCATGATCAGATTTCATGAAGTTACTGACCTGTTTCACAATGGTCTCATAATCATTTTCCAGTGACAAACTTGTGGAGATCCTGCCATTCAGAGCAACAACATAATCTAGAAGGAAAGAGATATTTTTATTCAGAACAGAATGGAAAATAAAAGAGTTTTATTTCTATTTACAGTATTATGGTTGACAAAACATGAACTGTAGCCAGACTTACACGGCCCTGAAGCAGGTGTTGAATTTGTAGGTGGGGATGTTGCTGTAGCTGTAGACATAGTTGGGGATTGAGTTGTAGTTAGGGATTGGGCTGTTGTAGTTGGGGATTGGGT